CAGGAAATGGATGAGGCTAGGAGAAAAACTCGGTTTATCCAAGGAAGCTCTTGATAATGTCAACGGTGATAGTATCGCACAGTGTCTGCAGGAGTGTCTGGCAATATGGGCAAGAGAGAAAAGTCCAACTTGGAAAGACCTTATTGATGCTCTCAATGCAATCGGGGAAACAAAAGCAGCTGAACACATCAGTAAGTTTATAGTACAACCTGTTATACTGTAGCTTCTGGTTCCCAACTTATAATAAAAACTGTTATCAGATCACCTAGATTTTCATTTAAACTATACTTCTTTTATTCCTTTTAGGTCTTCAACTATGAACTGTCTGGTTTAATCAGAGATGATTATAATATTTATGTAATAAATATTTGTTTTTGCCTAGACCCACTAACTGATCTAATTTCTAATTGTTTTTACTTTCTTTTTCCTCTAACTACTGTGTCTGTTCTACTCTACTTTTAATCTATATACCATGGTATGCAGGTTCTCTGTTGCATATCCATCAGGCTATCTCTTTTCTTTCTTTCCCCCCTGTTTCTCTACCTCTCTTTTTACTAGCGTATAAAGTGTTATAATAATAATAATAATAATAATAATATTTTTAACTTGTTTTACCCTGTTTGTTGAATAATAATAATGTTTCTATCTTAGCATTATGATAATAATAATAATTCAAAGTTTACTACAGAATTTAAGTCATAGCATAGTTAGAACCTGCAGGGGCAAGATCCCCAATATCTATAAATGATAATAAACAAACTTAAGCAGAATCAGTTTTCAGCCGGAGGCTAGGCATGTGTGTATCATCAATATGGTATCATATACTTACCATGAATTGAATTTTATCAATAGATACAACCAATAGTTTTGAATTTTACCCCCTCCTCGCCGACCTCAGTCCCCTGGCCCCCGACCGCGCCTGACTATATTTTCGTGGCCCGATAGTGACTCTTGAGTTGATGTAATCTCCAGCTGCAAAGAGCGTGTCTCAGCTTGTGCGATATAGTACTTTGAGGCTCCAGAGCACTGAGGAAGCAACCGAGATGATAAAACACACAGAATCAACTTCTAGCATGAATGGTCAGTAAGAAAATAATATGGACACTATAGGCAATTGCATGATCAGCATCAATACACTTTAGTTTCTAAGACCAATTTTGAATAGACCTGAAATTAAATTTAACGTTGCATTATAATTGAAAAACCATATTTGATGGATTTTTTTGAACCAGAGGACAGTCTCTCAAAAGGGACTGTACAGGACCCCATTTTTCAAAACACATTCCAAATAATTGCATTCCATAGTAGACTAAATGTAGCACATAGTTATTCTACTTGTGTATATACCTATGAACCAGTATTTAAGTCAATACATGCAAAATATTTGTGAATATAACAAAATTAATGGGCCACAAAATACTTTCTGCTCTATTTAACTAGCATTTTTAAATTAATTTGTGGTCAGTGGGTGGGAAATATCCTTGACCATCCCGACATGGTGCATGGGTAGGTGCATGGAATTGCTTGTATTGTAATCTTAGCTATTTATTATTTGTGCTTTTTATTGTGGCTTCTTTCCTTATAGAGTCTGATTTTGTTAATGTTAGATGGACCAAAGTGACAGTATCAGGTCCAT